TTTCCCTTTATCGCCAAAGTACCGTCCAGAATCGAAGGACCAGTGCAAGCTACCAACAATCCAATCTGCCAAGCCTTGGACGTAGCGAGCCACGGCGTCGTCGATACCGGGACCCCACGAGGGTAGTTGAGCTCGGTCATCGATAAAGCGGTCAATCGACTGCCTGCACATGGACCCAACGAAGTCCACAGCGTCCTGCAGCGACATCCGCTTTTGCTGCATGACGACGACGATCATGTTGTGCGTATCTCCGCGAGCCTGTTCGGCATTATACGAGAATATATCCTACATAGCAATGAGAGAGACGTATGTGTCAGTTATCGGAAGTCCGAGTGGAGCAGAGACAACACGAGCACTCACGTTGGACCAGGTGACAAGGTCATTGGCGGCATCTCCCAAGCTTACCAGAAGCGGATGTTCCATGACTTCGTCTGGTATGGCGAGATGATTGGCATACTCGATGAGGGCCCAGCAGGGTCGGCAGCCACTGGTATCTCGCCGCATGATAATGTAGGACTCGAGATCGGGAATGCGACCTTTTTGACGATCGAGAGCTTGCTGAGTGACTGCCTTGAAGAAGGCGTCAAATGTTTTGATGAACCGGCTCTCGACGCCGAACGTAGCAGAGGCACTGAGCCGTACCCAAAAACTGAAGCAGCATTAGTCGTTGGATTTTCGAGATGATATGGAACGCACTCTTTCGTCATTCTTCCGACTCTGGATGACGATTTATACATGTCGGGCTCTCGAAGGACACCGATAACTTCGTCTCGTAAAGACCATGTGCTCGAGTTCTTCATGTCGTCCATCAGGTCGTCCAGGTGAAAGAGATAATTCATGAAGTCGCAGCAAACCCGCAGTTCGTGATAGGGTGCGTGAGGATAGCATGTTGACGTCAGGGACCCAGCCTTCAGGGCAAGGAAGGCTGCACGCCTGTGCTTATTCAAATTGGCGCCCCGTAGGAACCACTCTTCGGATTCCTTGGAAGCGCGCGCGCAATGGTCGTTACTTCGGAGAGGGAAGTCGCAATGAGATACCAGATCAGGAAGGATGATTTTCGTAGGGCGATCGTCGTCAGAAAGCTGTCTTGAGCGTCGAGGGATACAGGAGAAATGCATGGTGGGTGGGGGGATGGGAGGTGAATGAGACGGGAAAATATCGTTCAGCTATTGGGTCGGATAAAATAGCCAAAGAAATGACAGCCCGCTCGGACTCACATAACATGAGGCACCGCTTTTATACCTCTAATATGTGCCGAAACGCGCGGACCCTAGATTAAGATCTGTTACCGTCTAAACCGCTGTTTCGAGGAAGCGCGCGGCGAGAAGTTCATCGTACGGGCAATATAGGGACCCACTGCGCGAGATCGCCACGGCTGAAGTGGACTGCTTGGGTCATCCGCCCACGGCTGCCCCGAGCCATCGTCCGAGGCTTCCATTGCAGTTAGGAAGCATCAGCACCGTTTGCCAGAAACACTCTTATGACTGTTCGTCCGACGAAGCGTTTACGTACATGTTCGGTCCGTGATCTATACTGCGTACGTTAGAAGCGCGTGTGATACGTACCGTGTAAGTATATTAACCAATGAGAGTGCTTAGCTTGTTCCAGAGGAATAAGTGGTCTTGACAAAGTCTAAACGAAGTGATGTGTGCATTGCATGAATTGCATGCACCTAGTGGGCGAGCGAACGTGAGGTGGAAGCAAGTTCGACCGTGAGACTTACTTTAGAAGTTACTGGTTAGCCACGCCACCATCGAGGCAAATATCGCGACCTGCACGAGGCCATAGCGCTTATAAGACTTGCAGTACGGAGCCTGTAGGACCGCGACTCGGACTGGTGATAATACAACTATAGGCCACTGAATCCTAGAGACTGTCGGAAGGCAACAGCAACGCCGGTACTGTAGCCGTTAGGCAACCGCATTAGCCTTGGATTGCTCCGAGGCGGGAGCAGTCGGATTGTTTTCCCATCCTTGTAAACCCCTGAGAAACATGTACGACCGCAACAATCCTCGCGGTGACCCGCCACGTCCGATTATTAAAGGGACGCTCTCAGTATGAAAAGAGTACCTCCGGTCGACAGGGGCGTGGAAGCGCAGCAGGAACCATCATGCATCAGCACAGTATGTTGCCTCCATGCGTATCAGATAATGGAACGCTTGATATGTCTTAAACTGCGACATACCTTGACCTATCACTCTCCTGGAAGACCATGGGTGCTTTGTCTTGTCAGCCAGTGAGCATTGTAACCACAGAAAATGAGCGGTTGACACGGTGGAAGCGGATTCTCAGAACTGGATCATATACGCGTACCTTGAGTTGGAGAAAGGGAAGGGCATCTGCGACTTGCAAAGTTTAGTATACCCGTCTTCACGATCACTTAGAGAATGATGAGCCAGAACATACGCATCAGTGCTTCCTGCTAGCACCTCATTCATGCCAGATCATCGCAAAGAGTTCTATTGTCTTGCTGCGGCCCTATGTCCACCGTGGTTGATGAGTCCCGCAACAACCCGTGGCGCTAATGAAAGCTGGTTTATTAGAATAAATAAGGATCCCCGGGTAACGGTCCACCCGGAAAGCTCTGCATTCAACGCAGGTGGAGAGTAGAGGTCATTTCGATGACAGTTCCATGCATGGCCAGCAATGTAGGAGGCGGCAAGATAGATTCTGGAATATCTAGCGATGGCATCTTCGGGGTGCAACCCGACCTTAGATGGGCGACTGACGTCGCAGAGACCGTCCATCGTGGCATTGAAGGTGCTGCTATGACATTTCATCCGAGTCGTCAGGAAAGCAGGGTAAGGCAACCAACAGATGGTCATCCATGATGAACAAGCCCCAACGACGAGGCGAGGCGCGTTAAGACTCTAGAATTTGCCCGTCGTTCATCCGAAGTCCCCATGGTTTCGGGAACCCACTGACACAGTGTATTCCTCCTGAACACTCCGGCGTGTGCGTCCAGGGATGAGAACGAGTTAATATCAGTAATAATGGCTCATTCCAAGCAAGGGCATGGTGACCGCAACAAGGAAAACCCGGGCGCTCTGTAAGCAGGGCAGTACCCCGCAGCAGCAAGGTGCCCAGCACCCCTCCTTCACGCGTAAGTTAGACTATCAAGCTGTGCGCTCAAAGGCAACTGAGGAGGACGACTTAGCTCCGCACAGCATAGTCGAGACCCACTGCTGAATCTCGCCGAAACGTTATCAGCCCGTCTCCGTGCGCGTGCTCTGAATAGTACGCCGTTCGCGCTATTCTTGCGATGATATGGAGCTATGGATACATCCCGAGGAGCGAATACAAGATCTACAGCTCCGGCTTGAAAACGCATGTTCAAAGGCGTGGCTAATAAACTCTCACCGCGTATACTAAGCATCCAGCAGGTCCCAACCCTAGTCAACGTCCTGGCTAAGCGACCCACTCGCCGGTTCTTCTTCCGACTTCACGAGCTCTATAGCGACACACCAGAACATCCTGCCCCAAGGCACGTCGTTTTTGCCGTCGGGGTCACCAGGCTTCCTGCGCTTGCAGCAGACGAACCGCACTTGCTGGCCGTCCCAGTAGCGCATCAGGTCGATGCTGATGCCGCCCGGGAGCTTCAGGGCTAGTGAGGGACTGAAGTCGAGATAGCCATAGCAGAAGTCCGTGGTGATGATGTCCTATTTCGATGCTGTCAGCCAGGTCAGTCCCGACTAATCCTATAGTGGGCTACCTCGGGACCGAACACAATCTCCTTCCTGCGATCGGCCTGCGCGAAGTAGGCTCGGCGCTCGTTGGCGTCCGCAAAGGAGAGCTTTGTCTCCTCCCTGTCCCCCTTCTTCGACCTCTTGGAAGCCTTGGATGCCGTAGACTTGACAGAGGCCAATGAGGATGTGGACGTCGCAGCTTCCTTGGAAGAGTACGGTCCTCTGGCCCCAGACATAGCCAGTTGCAGGTGAGACGTATCATCCGCAATCGGACTGCTGGGAGGGAAGGGCGGCGGAGACTCGCGCGTGTGAACCAGATAAGGCATGGTTGAGATCAAAGGCGACAATGCCCATGGTTGGGTCTGAGATGTTAGATCATGTTCCAGAGTGGGATCGACGTATCTGGTGAACGAATCAGCTGAGATTGGTAAGAGAGAACCCAAGTCCATCCTGTCCAGATAGATCTACCGAAGCCGATACGCAAACTTCGAAGCGGCTCGCTGTCGGACGATCAAGCTGGCAGGGACGGCATAATAAGAACAAGGTTTACTTCATGAGCTTGAGAGCGGCCCCAGATCCCCAAGGTAAGTTCAACGGATGGTCGAAAGTGTTCCCAAACAGAATATCGTCCGCAGACTGGGGTTCAATGAACCTTCCTGCCGTGCGTATCAGCACAGACCGAGGATGCAGCGACCTTCACGCACCTTGGACCTGGATACTCCATGAAACGCTCTTCCGCTCTGGCTTGTGGAAGTACTCGTGCTCCAGCACTTTGCCCTCCGCGTCCGTGAAGTCCTTAATATACGCTAGGATTTTTCCTTCGAACGCCTCCGATACAATCTCTAGAGGTTTGTCGGAATTGACCTCTATGGGCTCCAGCTCGGACAAAGTCGGTCCAGCCAAAAATCGAAGGCGAGGAGACATGGTGGTAGAGTGCAAAGCAGACAATTCAATATCCACCGCGACGAGCCCTCAGGACTCAGAATCAGACTGCTACGTTTCAAGCAGCCAATGCACCTTGTAGCTGCCCGATGGATACCTGCTCGACACAAGTCTGTGCTTGAGAATGGTAATGACGAGTGGTAATGGCGAGAGTGAGGGCCCTAGTGGGACTCGAGACTACGAGCGCCACCATGATATCATGTGCTATGCGAGCACGCCGTCAGTTCGTGACAATTGCACTCAGTCGTGCCAACAAACCTCCTCCCTATTCTGTCCACGAAAGGCTCCTGCGAATCGCTCCTCTTCGGAGGACAAAACCTGGCAAAATCTTGAAGTGTGGGCCGAACAAAGTCCTGAGCTACAAAACGTTATCGACGGCGACAGGATTCGAACCTGTGCCCGCAGAGCGGAAGAGATTTCTAATCTCTCGCCTTAACCACTCGGCCACGCCGTCCTGAAGTTGATGATCTGTGAGATTTATATAGTGTTAACGCAAGCTCATTTTTACTGTGGCTTCCCTAAGCGCGTTCTCTGCTCCCGGCTTCCATCTCGGCTGCCTCCATCTCCTGGAGTCCTGCATCTCAATGTGCTGCGGAAAGCCTGCGGTTTATTACGGAGGCATTAAACATGGAATATCATATAGCGAAGCCAAAAGTTTTGGCTATATGTCACTGGGCTTATGGTGGATTGTTCAAAGACGAGAATTGGGATGGGATGGAGGAGGTCAGTATGTAAGAGGAATGAATTGGCCTTTCGGGCCTCGGGGCCCAAACGTGACTGGTGAGTCGCCGTCACCGTTTCAAATGCGCGAACTTACCGTTGTTCTCGACAACAGCATATGCGCTGTGCCAGGTCAAAATGAAGACTAGTTGGCACCATTGAATCCGTACGTTGGAAGAATGGTCTTCGAAACCAGGGGTCCTCTCTCAAAGAATAGATAATTCGTTTGACGGTCACCGTGCTTATGTGAATGCTAGGCGGAAGTTGCAGGAAGTATCCAGAGCTGCAATCCTGGAGTTCGCGTGGTCTATCTGGCATCCTAATGTCGTCGAGGGAAGGTCTTTGCGTGGAAGGTAGGCAGCGCTTCAAAGCTCAGGAGCATGGCAGTATGACGACGACAGGGCACCTTGGTATTAATCGTCCTGTTGGAGTCACAATCAGCGTTAGCTACGAGAACTGCCATGACAAGCCATCTCCCTTGACACAGTCTCCATGCACTCAGACTTAGTCTGAGATCCGTGGAGGCTACGTCAAGGGAGACGCGCAGAGCACTGAACACTGCCGATTTGGGTCTCTGTTTGCGCAGAATCAACCAAGCCTTGATTCGCCATCGACCCTAGGAACGGTCAGTCCACTTAGCGTATGTGGATGCGCTAAACCTAGCTCCATGCTAGGTCGCAACCGGACAAAGCTGAAACGTCCATCGAAGGTACAAGAAGTTCGCTCAGACGCAATGTGGATGGGCCAGACGAAGATGAGCCACCTGGACTTCAGTGCCGTTGGAAGGGTGATTGCATCAGCCTTGGTTAGTTCTGGAACCCCTACTTGCTCACCTCACACTATCGCTGACAGCGCCCTCAGACCTTGACAGTGTTCCCCCTGAGATACGATAACGTGGAGTCCTAGTGCATGAAGGTGTCCGAGGATACAGATTCTCCCATGCCAGCTCGCAGGACTGTTGCCACCACCCTCATTCCGCAGTACGCAGTACGTCGCTGCATTCTTCATTGACTTCAGTCAGACATACACAAAGAAGACACACGTGCTATTTAAATCCCGAAGAGCGAGATAGAAGCCAGATAAGTGGTATTGATATCTCGCTTCTCTGACCACGGCTGCTCAGGCTCTCACTCCTGCGACCGCGATAGCTGCTTGTAATGCTGACCTGGAAGGCGACCGATATACTTGTTGTGTTTCTGATAGTCCTTTCAGGTGCTGTCGCAGCACGTTATAGGTGGTCCTCAAGACGGAACCGAGGGAGACCGTATCCGCCTGGCCCACCTGCTTATCCGGTGGTAGGCAACATCGTCAAGATCCCGCCAAAGGGGCCCTGGTTGAAGTTCGCAGAGTATAAGAAGCGATACGGTGAGGTGCCTCTAATCATACTATCGTCCGAGTCTTGACGTTTCCTTTCTGGACTAAGGCGATCTTGTGTATTTCCAAGGATTGGGCAACTCGATACTAGTCCTCAATTCCGCAAAGGTTATCAATGACTTATTGGACAAGAGAGCCGACGTATACTCGCACCGTCCGGAACTCGTAGTCGCAGGTGAACTCATGAGGCTCGATCAGGTTTAGCGCGATTTACCCTATGTCCTGCAGAATGCTTACACAATCTCCAGGGAGTAGGTTCCCTCCCATATGGACGAGAGTGGCGCACACAGCGCAAGCTATGTGCCGTTGCATTGAGTGCTACTGCTGTAAAGCAGTATTATGGCGTGCAGGAGGATGCGGCCGCACTGCTAGCCAAGGCTTTAGTAACGTCCCCCGAGAGCTTCACAGGGCATGTCAGGCTGTACGTCGTCACCTATGCACTTCGAGACCTACGGATCTTCTCTAAGGCAGGAGATCGTCCATATAGAGCAGCAGCTCGCATTGTTCTCACTGTCACGTACGGGATACCGGTCAAAAGTTTCGATGACGAGGTGTGTGGCCTATTCAATATCTGATATGATTGTTTGGTTACCTTCATTGGCAGTTGGTGAAGCTCGCCGAAGACACTATGGACGTCGTCACTGAAGCCCTCGTACCTGGCACGTTCCTCGTCGATTTCTTACCGTTTCGTAAGGTTCTCCGCATAGAGATCCCAATTCCCAATTTATTGTGACTTTCAGTGAAAATTCTGCCGTCATGGATGCCGTTTCATCAGTACGGAAGGCGAGGGAAAGCCCTACTCGACGAGCTCATGAATTCACCCTTTGAGCGGGTCAAACGAAATATGGTGAATCATCGTTGTGGATCATGCCTCACTGCGAAGTCATCAGCATGATCTAGGACTTGGGGGAAGCTCCACCTTCCTTGACGCAGCACCTGCTGGGCACCAAATTCGAGGGGATGTCCAATATCGAACATTCCATGAAATGGGCCACGGGGACTATGTACGGGGGTGAGAGCGAATTATGCAAGACATCCTGTGTCCGTGAACTAATGATCATGCCGATTCTCGTAGCGGGTGGAGAGACGACATATGCAGTCGTTATGATATTCATTTTGGCAATGGCACTATATCCGGAGAAGCAGTGGAAAGCTCAGGAGGAGATTGATGCACTGTTGGGTGGCAATAGACTCCCTATTGTGGCGGACCGCGACCACTTGCCATACGTGTCTGCCCTGATAAAGGAGACGATGAGGTGGTACCCGGTAGTGCCCTTGAGTCCGCAAGACCGCTTGGTTCCGTTTGACACGAATTGACTGCAGGTTATCTAGGTCTCCCTCGCATGACGGCCGAGGACGACGTATATGAAGGGTACTTCGTACCTAAAGGAACTATAGTAATGCCGAATGTCTGGTACGTGCTTGCATCATGAGTCCCTATGGTCGTGTAATATTTTCGTTCCTTAGGTCGGTGGCGTTTGAAAACAACGCCAAGTATCCTCCCGAGCAGTTCATTCCAGAACGCTTCCTGGACGAGCAAGTGTCTACGCCTGATCCCGCTTCTTGGTTATTCGGCTTTGGGCGTCGGTACGGCTCATATTGATACACCTTGATGCCGCTCATCTTTGCCCAGGATCTGTCCTGGGATATTCCTGGCCGAGAACTCCGTCTTCGTTCTGATTGCCACTATCTTAACAGCCTTTGATATCAGCCCGCCACCTGACGGAGAGCTCAAGCCTGAATTCATTCTGAATCTCATCAGGTAAGCCCAGATTATGCATCCTGTGCGCGGTTACTCGTCTGATTGATATTCTAGCTATCCGAAGCCATATGATTGCCAAATTTTGCCTCGCTCGGATGCGGCAGTGAGACTAGTGGAGGCTCGGGCCTTACAATGCAACTTGTGAGAATGGTAGTGTATGAACCCCTTGGGCTGCCAATGTGCGCGCACACAGGACCATTTGATTCCATATCTTTCCGACAGTGTCTCCACTTCACGGTTCTTTCCACAGTGTAACAACAGTATTATTCAGGAGCAGTCCCCGTAGTATATAAAGTACTTGCAATGATCCCTAGTCCAACAATCAGGCCCGTCTGACGACACTGACGTGCACATCCCCCTCAGATTTACTTTTACGTCCGGCTGTCGCATCGAAGTGGCCGTCGCCGACCTTCTCCTGCTCTATAAGATGCAAGTCGGGGCCCTCGAACGATCTCCTGCCTTGCACGAGCCAGAAGCCGGCTGCGATGAGCAGGATGAAGACGAGGATGCATGATGTGTAGTTCATGTTCTATGAGGAGTGGTAGTTAGACACGGTGCGAGGAGCGAGAGGAAGGGGAGCGGACGTACAGAAGGGGTCACCGGGCTGACGGTCGGAATTAACATGGTCGCGCTGATAAACGTGAGGTATACCGATGCAGCGATGTTCGCAGGCCATCCCCAGCGGCCGAGCCTAGCATAGAGCGTGGTCAGACCTCAATCGAGCAAGATCAAGGCAATGGCTTACTTGAATGGCCTCGACTCATCCAACTTCCTTCCCTTAGCCATGAGCGCGGCGATGGGGAGCAGATACGCCAAGTCGAACCCAATCGTGGCGAGAGAAATGATGGTATAGAACAGCGTCGAGGAGCCGATATACAGGACCAGCATGACAACCTCGATGAACGCCGAAACGATGAGCGCGTTCGTCGGCACCAAGCGCTGCTCGTTCACCCGCTTAAAGAAGCTCGGGAATGGGAACGCGCCGTCCCTCGCGAACGCGTACACGGTCCTTGACGTTGCCATGAGCATCGAGTTTAGCGCGAGCAGCGCGCACGTTGTAGGGAGGAGCGCGAGGAACACGCCCGCCGGTTTGTTGTTCGTGCTCAAGTAGGCGAGGGCGAGGAAGGGCGAGCCGATCTCGGACGCGAGAATCTCGTCGATGCGGGTGAGGCAGAAGAGGAGGGGGATGATAACGACCAACCCCGAGAAGGCACCGGTGACAACGGTCACGATGAGAGCTTTGGGGACATTCTTGGCTGGCTCTGTCATTTCTTCCGACATCTGTGGCATATTAGGATCTGTGGGAGTATAGGGCAGGAGGGTCGGGACGTACATGCGTGACGGAGTCGTATCCGATCATGGTGTACGCGCTTTGGAGAAGACCGAGGATGAAGACGAGGGCATGTGATGACCATCCGGTGTTGTTAATGTCTGAATCAAGTCATGTTTGGGTTCTAACTCGTCAGGTGCACAGGAAGTAAATGTCTCACAGGCTGTGAATGCGAAGTCGGCGGTCTGTTTTGGGTGGACTGTCGCCAGCAGGGTGATAATGATGGCTAGAACACCAAGAATATTGTAGGCAACTAATACATCGGACA